GCACCAAATGGTGCTGCTGTGTTTAATAAAGTTATGAAAACAGACATTTTTGTTTTGCAAATAGATTCAGATTATATTTCCTCCTTCGAAGGCTGCTTTCCATCCAGCGCCCGTTAAAATCTAATCTAAATGAGTGTTAATATTTTTGGTTGATTCCATCTTCATGTAGATGGCAGACTGATGCGTGTGTTGGCGGTGACTGGCTGCAGGAAGCCAGTGACAGAAGGTTTATACAGACAGACATCAAACCTTCCCTAGTTTGTGTTGAACATCATTTTCATTGCAGCCCATGTGTGATTGGACTATAAATGCACCGAACGCATCTGAGCCGCGGCCCAAAATGTGCTTTGGTCACCTTCCATGTAGTCTTGTGTTTGTCACGATCAAGATTTAAAGATGGTGAATCTGTGTTGAGAGGGTTTAGGAAGGGCAGCGGCCCAAAACATCATAAAACTGTAGAATAGAAGCTTTATCTTCTTAGTGTGGTTTTTATTATCGCCCGCTGCCAAAGCACAAGGAACAAAGTGTTTTTGCCTCTTTGTGTTTCCCTTTGAGGAATCTCATGATAGCTTTTAATGAAACTGTACATCGACATCTGAATAACCTGGTCAACTAAATTCAAAATGACCACTACAGCTAATCAGCCTTTGCACATACAGAAAGTACCTCACATAGAACGTGACGGATGCTATAGTAAGGCTGGCATGGCCGTGGCTGAGAGCCATTTGGATCGCATACCCCAAGCTCTACACCTTCATCATCTTAGCTTCGAGCCTTGTGGAGACCTGTCGGGAGTCAGTTGGATAAGTATCAGTTTGAATCTCTCAGAAAGTAAATGTTAGATTCACATCTGCAGCTGATTTAAACTTTGGTGACAGCCAAATTCAAGATGGCTTCTATTTGGTCTTAGCAGGCTTAACACTGGGGGTGTTTCTCAATGGCAAGGCGCCTGGTCTTGCGAGGCGATGTCTTGCGAGGCCAGGCGCCTTGCTTACGAGGACACTGTCCTTCCTTGGTCAAAGAAAACTGTTAAATGGAAGAGATTTGCATCACGTGACCGCGGCTTCCACGGCGGTCACGTAGCATCACGTGACACGGGAGATAACGTTATATTTCATACGGATTAGTTTCAATATAAATGTATAACGAGCCTTTTACTTTTTAAATTGTGGATATCAGGGTTTCCCCCAGCGCTTTATAAGCCTAGCGGGCCGCCAGGCTTTGCTTTCCCACCCGCCAGGCTAAGTGTCATGCCCCGCCCCCCTCCCCGACCCTACCGTGTTCGCTGACACAAACAGCGCAGCAAAACTAGAGCCCTCCATCAGCTGATACTGGTGAGAAACAGCAGCGGAATGTGTGTATCCACCCCACCCCCGCTCTCACGGAGGAGCGCTGCGGGACGGAGCGCGCGAACCCCCCCCCCCCCCGCGCGCCCCGCTCTCACGGAGGAGCGCTGCGGGACGGAGCGCGCGACAACCCCCCCCCCCCCCCCCCCCCCCCCCGTGAATATTTGTTAAATTACTACCCGCTAGCAGCCAAAGCTGCAACTACTAAGCAACTAACCAACTATAGATAACTTCTTTGGATCTAAAAATATATAATTTAAATTAGTTAACTTACTTTTCAACTTGAAATTTGCTTCCAAAGTAGCTGCTGGCTTCTGGTCCGCCGTCCTTTTGAAAATTCCGCGGTGTATTCTGGGAATTTTTTGACAAAGGCTAGGCTACGAGACACCTCCTTTGTATTCTTGCTCAGCTAGCTAAACGGCTAACAAACAGAGAACACACGCCTCAGTAGAACGTGAACATTGGAACACGCCTTGGTGGTTCCTGATGACGTATCTCCTAGGCAACCGGGGTGGGGCCAAGACATCAAGGCAAGGAGGTTCTTTGGCATTGAGAAACACCCTGGCTGTACCTCACATGATGGTGCCATGGTAACAAAGTCACCCCAACACTCCGATCACACACGGCCTCTGCAGGCTGCCCTGTCTGGGCTACAGGTGATCAATCCCCATTCGCTGATCGCATACTTTTTCATAAAGATCAATTATTAGGGATGTCCGGTGCCCAAACATTCCCTAAACGCATCGGTACTTACAAAGACAAATAAATTCAAATTCAAATTTTATTTGTCGCATACACAGTACGAAATGCAGTGAAATGCCTTACACAACTGCTCGTGACCTAAGAGTTGAAAATATAAAAATAAAACAACAACTGTACACCACGAATTAAAATGAAGGGTAAATTTAACTGGGAAAATTTAAATAAAGTAAATATTCTTCATGATCTGTGCGCTCTCTTGTTTTTGTTTAAATGTAAGATGAAAATGCATGAGGAGCAAAGGAAATGGTAACGACGTCAGTCAGGTCCGAGGTGACAGCGCTCACTCTATTGCATTTCACACAGACACCATAACAAAGATTGTTTGTAACAACAACGTGTCACTCTGATCCATTTTCAAAACCTAAAACATTTAAATCGTTTTAACATGGACTTACTTGTGCCTTATATGTTTATTTACTTATTTACTTGTGTCTTATTAATGAACTTATTAATCAAACTTTTCCCCATCCTGAGTTTAATAAATATCTTCAACAGAGCATTTGTCAGGATTATCTCAAGGAGAACATCATTCAGCTGCTGTTGAGAGAAAGTAAACATGACATGTTATTCTAATACTAACTTAAAGCACTCATGATGGGAGAAATGTGATGTTGGCAACCTAAGGGATTTATTTATTTATTTTAGGGGGACCCACGTGTATTGGTATTGATTTAAATCAGTATCGGAAATCAAGAGTTAGACGATATCTGATATCGGTAAATAAGCCAATATCAAGCATCCCCTTCAATTATGATTGGTGAGTGATGGATTGGGACACTATTTCACTTACGTTATGTTTAACTAAATGACTTCAACTCTCATTGGATCACAATGTCCCAAGATCTGCTCTTTCTGTGAAAGGTTGGTCTTTCATTAAAAACACTTTTTGGTATACGCAACTTCATGTGAGCACCTGTTAAAATAATACATGTTGTTATTTTGATTTGCAGGTCATTTCTAATTCTCCTCTTTTGTTTCTAAAACTAGGGCTGAACGATTTTGGAAAATAATCAGGCTCAGTGGCCTAGTGGTAGAGTGTCCGCCCTGAGACTGGGAGATCAGGGTTCAATTCCTGGTCGGGTCATACCAAAGACTTAGAAAAAAATGGGACCCAATGCCTCCCTGCTTGACACTCAGCATTACGGGGTTGGATTGGGGGGTTAAACCACCAGATGGTTCCCGAGCGCGGCTGTGTCTGCAGCTCACCGCTCCCCCAGAGGATGGGTCAAATGCGGAGAACAAATGTCGCACACACATCAGTGTGTGTGACAACTGATGGGACTTTAACTTTAACTTAGTCTAATTGCGATTTTTTTTCTTCAATATTGCAATCGCGATTTAATTCACAATTATTTTCTCAAGGGGCTTTTCTCATTTTTCAACTAACGGAAGCAATAAAAAAAGATCCATGTAACATGTACTGAATATAAACAAGTTTATGTATCTACATATATCAACAAGTTTATTTGTCTGCACATACATGAACATTCACATGTAAAGACAACATCTTGTATTTGAAGGTGTGATGCTTTGCAGCCAGGAGCACATCCCTTGAAGGAGAATAGGTATTAGCATCAACTGTGAAAATTTATTAGCAGGAAAGAAGTGTGTCCCATTTATTGAAGTCTTTTGTGTTTAGAGTTTTTGACGTCTTGTCCATGCAGAGCTTCCGTAGTTCAGTTACGTTTACAGCTGCTAGCCAAAACTCAGTGGAGTTGAAGTACAGTTTTCTAGCTTTACTAAAATATCTGTCTGTACTTATTTGATTAATGGCAGTTTTTACTTTTTTATTACACTTCAAATGTAATAACTTGGCACGTTCCTAATTCGTAATTTGTAAGAATCTATTCGGCGATATTAGCATTAGCATCCCTATGGGTTTTTCAATGTATATTAGCGTTGTGCTAACCACTCGCTGCCAGTCAAATCGCAGCCTTTGCGATTAGAAAATCTCCTTTTGTCACATCGCAATTTAATTGCACATGCAGTTAATCGTTCAGCCTTATCTAAAACTGTATTTACCAGAAATTATGCAAATCTATAAAAGTAAACTAACACCTGTAAACATCAGTTTGCAGAAAGACCAAACGGGCAAAAGCTGCAACACAAGTTTTGTAACGATGGCTTAAATAAAGTCGCAGCTGCAGTTCACAAAGCTTCCCTGTCTGCATGAAGCTGTGGAGGTTTTTGGGATGTGAAAGAAAGACAAACTCTTCGTTGTTTTAAATGTTCATACTTAATATTTTGCAACTTGTCCTGTTCTTTGTGCCCATGCGCTTACATAGAATGACACAAAAATTGTCTCATGATAAAGTGGATACCACCTATCTGGTTTTGTTATTGAAACTGACCTGATTAGTAACTCCTCTGGGTGTTTTCAGTGTTCATGTTGCTCTGAAAGTCTCTATAGACTCCACTAGTTTGACCCATCTCTACTTTATTCTGATGCCTAAATATTTGAAGGGGCTTTTGGAGAAGTGATTTGTCCCTAAATGTTTGTTTTCAATAGAATATCCAACCAAACCGTAGAGTCAGTAGCTCCTGTTTAAGGCCGGTCGGAGGCAGGAGGGTTTTGTTCAGCCATCATCCGTGGCAAGCTTAGGGCTGCAAAGTAGGACAGCCATTTTTGTTCTTTTAAGCAGGCAGAAAAGTTGGTCACAGACGGAATCAACAGTTTGTGTGACGCATCATGTTAGTCACATATAAAACCTTTGTTTACAGACTTAGAAAAGCAATCTGTGTATGTTAAATATCTGTAACAGAGGAGGCGTCACACGTTAGGACAGGAGCATGCTGTATTTCTTTGGTCCTAATGGACGTTACGTCTCAGGTCTTCTGTCCTTGACTCGTTTTTCATCCCTGTAACCAACCTCTTTATCTTTATCCTCGCAGGAGCAGAAGTCATCAGGCCGATACAGCATGTCGCGATGTTCAAACTCTGTGTCCACGACCGATGACCAGCCGCACGTCGGTAACTATCGGTTACTGAAAACCATCGGCAAAGGCAACTTCGCCAAGGTCAAACTGGCACGACATGTCCTCACTGGAAAAGAGGTGGGCTCATACGTCCGATAATAGCAGCAATGTTGTTTTAAGAGTGTTTCGATGTCTCCGACACGGCATGATACAGATTAGATAATAATTCTGTCCACACATTTTAACATTCTAGCTTTTTAAAGACTAAATGGCTTCTTTAAACGTCGTTTTACGAACTCTAGCAAGTGAACAAAAGGCTCATGTTTTTGTTTTGTGAGGTCAGAGAATTGCAGGTCTTTGACTTGCCAAGTCACATTGTGAACCATCAAGTTGAGCTTGACTGTACACCATGTGACTTGAGGGGGGGGGGGGGGTAACTTTTTCACTATTTCATTGATAATACTGACCAAAGGATTTGTCAGGTTTTGCCATGGAGACTCTTCTATGCTGTCCAACTGAGACGTGATTCTGACCCTTTCAGATTAGAAGCAGACCCTTTAGTCTGTCAGATTAGAGTAGATTTGACTGCAAAACAAAATCTCCCTTTTGGGGAAGTACGGCTGAGGTCGTAGCCTTGATGCCAAACAAGTTTAACAGTCTTCGACATGGAATGCAGGGTTTCCCCCAGAAAATGGGTTAAGCCTGGTGGATTCGGGGGGTGCGTGTGTGTGTGCGTGTGTGTGTGTGTGTCTGCTCTGTCCTGTCTTCTCCATCCCCAGTGAGTCGTGGTGGATGGCTGTTTATACTGAGCCAGGATCCTCTGGAGGTTTCTTCTTGTTAAAAGGGAGTTTTAGGGCGACGATGGTGGCACAGGAGTTAAGTGCTTGCCTTGTAATCGGAAGGTTGCAGGTTCGAGTCCCGCTCAGTCTGTCGCTGTCTTTGTGTCCTTGGGCAAGACACTTAACCCCCCTTGCCTGCTGGTGGTGGTCGGAGGGACCGGTGGCGCCAGTGCTCGGCAGCCTCGCCTCTGTCAGTGCGCCCCAGGGCAGCTGTGGCTACATTGTAGCTCATCCCCACCAGGGTGAGAATGTGTGTGTGAATGGGTGAATGACTGATTGTGTTGTAAAGCACCTTGGGGGGTTCCAGGACTCTAGAAGGAGCTATATCAAATACAGGCCATTTTACCATTTACAGTTTTCCTCTCCACTGTCGCTGCATGCTTGCTTAGTATGAGGATTGCTGTAATGACTCTGACGCTAGTCAGTGACTCGATGCGACCTGCTGGGTTCCTTATACAGGAAACTTTTTACTGATTGGCTTAATGACCTGACCTGTATTTAAATGTTTACTGTGTGAAAGTCCTTGAGACGACTCTTGTCGTGATTTGGCGCTTTATAAATCAACTTGAATTGAATTGAACATAAGAGGCTACAAGATCTTGCATCAGGTCAAAATTCGCAGACCTACATGATTTCTATGAAGTTCTGCGAATTTTGACCTGATGCAAGATCTTGTAGCCTCTTATGTTCAATTCAATTCAAGTTGATTTATAAACGTGTACTGTGTAAATTAGCTTAGCCGTTGCTCTATTTTACCTGATATTATTGTCTTTAGCTAATTCTCTCACTGGACAGATTTTTATTGAAAGTAGAGCCATAATCTCACAGAACTGTGGCTTTTGGTGATCAATTAGAAGCAGAGTATTGCTAGGGCATATGGAGTTTTTCAGTTTGATGCTGTAAAGGCGAGATTTGTTAATGGCCAGGTCTTGCATAGGTACACGGTAGCGCTGGGCGATCTGGCCTTTCACGATATATTGAGGATTTAACCTCTAACGATAAATGGACGATAACTACGGGTATGCGCAGAATCAAAAGTTGTCCACTAGATGGGGCTGTCACATTTTTACGTGACTCAAGGTGATACAGCTTCTTAAAGGGACATGAATGTCGCCAACCTACACACAACTTTTCATTTTTATTATCAGATTTATTGACGTGGGGAAAAGGATCCCGATAAGAGTCAGAAATGTCGATAACGATCAAATTTCGTTATGTCGCCCAGCCCCAGTACACGCTATGTTGGTGAACTAATTGGAACAATCGTTCAGGTTTTCTTGTCTTGATTTTGACTCAAGTTGTTTGAAATTGACCCTCATTTTTGTGCATCTTGGCCACCGACCCTTCCTAAAGTCTTCAGTTTTCTCACGTCTTCCGACTCACAAGTTGAGTTACAATTCTTCTATTTTGAAATGAAATTTGTCCAACAGCATTTTCAGACATGACGACGTCTCCAGCAACACAAAAGTGAGGTAGAGTGTTTCATGCAAGGAAATTTCAGTAGCTTGATAGCTCTGAACCTCCTTAGCAAACGCCTTTTGCACTCTGGGGTCAACGGTCACAGCCCAGTGAGATACCGGCGTATTCACTGGACGTATGTCTACAACTGATTAACTTTTAGAGTCAACCTGATGAAAGGTGGCTGCCACAGCTAATCGGCACTAGAAAACACTCAAATGGCATTTAGTCGAGCTAAAAGGTGGTGGTGTGGTTGCTAACGCTCTTATCCAGCACGGTCGGTTTTTAAACCCTTATATTAATTAGTAAATCTCATAAACCACTGGAGATCAGCAAATGGCTAACGTTTGCTGTCAACCCAATTCAAGATGGCCTCCACATGTGGTCTTAGACGAGCTAAAACAATCTTTAACTCGGCTAACTTCCTATGTTGTCTGTTTGTTATAAGTGAGTGTCTACCCCCGGCTAAATATGTGCTACAGCAGTAATAAATACGATCATTTATTTAGAAAAGTGCCTGAATCTGGCCTGTTGACGTCTTTTATTAGTCAGGACAAGCTGGTGGTTTTGTTGCTCTCTAATTGCTGATCTGGTTTCCTGGTTGCTGAGCTTACAGCCAGACTCTGATCAGATCTAAGGCCTGCACAGCTCTGGAGATCATGCATCTTCTGCAGCAGATTAAATCAGCGCTGTCGGCCTAAATGTTTCCAATCTCCGTGGACAGAAAAGCTGGGTCCAGTTAGCGGGCCCAGGCTGGGTCCCTGTCGGGCCAGCTGTGAGGAACAGTGTTGTAGACGGACTCTGTCGATTTATGACATCCCTGTGCCTGACACCCTGATAACGCTCCACGTGACCCGCTGGCTCTCACAGAGACAAACAAGGGGGAGTCGGGGGGGTAGAGAAGAGTCAGGAGTGAAGTTAGAAGTAGATCTCTTCTCTGTGTCCTTGTTAAGGGACGACGCTTTGTTTCTCTGCCTTTGTTTTTCTTTCTCACTTTTGGCACTCAATCCTTTTTTTTTTCTTCAGCTCTAATTTCATTTTACTCTGCGTGTCGCTGCTGCTGTGGGATTATAAACCGTAGAGCTCATTACTGATTAAAGCCACAACCACACTTCAGCCTCTCTCCTGTTATTATGCAACTGTCACCTACTAGTGCTGCACGGTTGTCTCCTTTCGTTGCTCGCGGACCGTTTCGCTGCCGCGTGTTGCCCGTAAGAGCGGGGAAGGGGCGTTGCTCGCCGCGCCTGAGTCCATGTAGGGGGAATACTGGGCTACCATGAAAACTGAGCTCTTTAGGAAAAATTAAATATCTTTAAGATCCAGACATTAGTTTAAAACTCATGTCGACTCGTTACGCTTGAGTTGCATGGACAGACAGCGCTGCTGTAAAAGTAGAGAAGAGCTGCTTTGGCCAAACAGGACGTTCCCTTAGGAGCGTTGATGCTCAAAAATATAACTGAACTCTGTGTGTGTGTGTGTGTGTGTGTGTGTGTGTGTGTGTGTGTGTGTGTGTGTGTGTGTGTGTGTGTGTGTGTGTGTGTGTGTGTGTGTGTGTGTGTGTGTGTGTGTGTGTGTGTGTGTGTGTGTAGCTACAGGTGCATTTCACCCTTCTGTCTTGCTTTCAGAAGAGGAAGTGTGTTTCTTTTAGGGAACATTTCAAAATAAGAGCATGGCTCCAAAGCAGATAATGATAAATTACAAGTAATTACGGTTTTCTTCTGGTTTACCTTGTTTATGCTGTTGTTGATACCCATCGGAATTACAACACAGGATCTGCTCTAAGTGTAATAATCACTTCTTCCTTTGCCTTCAGGTGGCTGTGAAGATCATCGATAAGGCTCAGCTCAACTCCTCCAGTTTGCAAAAGGTGGGCTGATTGAACTCTCTCACATTCAGACCTCCTTCTGTCCTTTTCCTGGGCATTTCCAAGTCACTCTTCCTGCCCCACATGCCCTCCTTTCTCCCTCGTTCTGCGCCCTCTCTCGCCGTCTGAAGTGGTCCAGTTTTCAGAGAGAGTTTTAATTACAGGAAACAAGCTGCAATTACTTCCTTTGATCGTGGCAGGGCGGGGTCTGTCCACTCACGCACACACGGTCCAACCATGTGTGCTCGCGCAGCCCAAGCACACGCCAGACACTCATCTGCCCACACACAATATGTGCTTGTATCCAAAAAGCACATGACAAAATGTCAAAGAGGATACAGACGAACTGGAAACCATCCAGTTTTCAATCCCATGACGGGGCGAACGTGTCCGAGCCAGAGATGCAGTTTAACCTTCACTGGATGAAAGCCTAAATGTGATATCTGTTGTTTTGTGGAGCCAAACCAACGCTCTTTACTCACCTAGGTGCGTTTTGTTTTAGTTTGAGTCACAGATTTCTGCGTAGCTCAGGGAGGGATACCAGCACATAATGTCCCAGAAGGACCAAAGCCTCCTTCATTCTCCAGCAACAGATGACTGAAGAACAAATTAGCTGCAAGACAAGAACATTACAAGCTGTGCTGCTGCTCGGAAACAGTCTAGATCAAATCCAATAAAAACCAAAGAACACAAGTTCTAGTTTTCCCGCAGCATCTGGTTGTTCCCGTCTGTGATGGGTGGGGTTACCATGGTGATGAATGAGCCACTAGCAGCAGTTTTAACATTTCTCGTTATCTACAGAACAAAACCTAGACTTTTATTTTACCTTTATTATTATAACGTTGATGCTTTGGCACTCTTCAACACGTCGCCTAGTTGGGATTAAAAACTGAAACGCTATTTTCTAGCTACCGGATTTAAAGGTGCATTATGGAAGTTTGACAGCCAAAACATGTATAGAAATAATAAATGTCTTCTTCATACGTTCTCCTGCAATGCCCTGGTCCTGTAGAATGAGCCCTGGCATTTTTACTGTGATTGCCTGTTTTTCTGTAAAATCACAGAAAAAGAGAGATGCTCGGGTCGAGCAGGCTGCTTCATGCGCGTTCACGCTCAGGCATCGCCCGTAGCATTTGCTATCCGTAGCTTTAGCAGCAGAGAGAGAGGCAGTGCCACTTTGTCGCTGTTCCTAACGCCTAGTGACAAAGCTAGCTACATTTCTGAGGACCCTTAGCTACTTTCTTCTAGATATTTCCTGCTAATTAGCAACAAAATAGCCATTTTTACTCCCAACTGTTCTTTGAACGTTGTTTCAGCTGTTATCAAGGTATAAATGTTACACATACTGTGAATGTTGCTAGAGTGTAGCTTACCTAGTAAGACGTCGGACTCTCTTGCAAAAGACCTGGGTTTGATTCTGGATGTGAACATAGTTCATTTAGAGTTTCTTTTTTACATTAATGGTATATTTTTTTACAGTAAGATGCCCAAATTGTTATTTGAGACTCGCCGAACGGCATTGAATTCACAGATAAAAAAGATGTGGGTCCAACTTTCATTTTGGAACAATTTTTCAAGCAAGGGAAGGGAATGATCTGAGCATGCAGGAGGACTGACCCATCATAATCCTTTGTCGGCTGTGCTGAAGAGAAAGCTACAGAACCACATTATTTAATTAATTAGCTGCGTGTTCTCCTGTCCTCACACACACACACACACACACACACACACACACACACACACACACACACACACACACACACACACACACACACACACACACACGGGACTGTCTCAGCTGTAATTTTCGTTAGGGAGTGTGCACGTACAGCATGCGCGCCTCGTGCACGAGCCTACTATTGAAGCTACCGTTACGCTTTTGGCCTGAGGGGGCGATCACGAGCATAAAAATTCAAACGTCCGTAAAGTCCCTTTAATGTAGCATTGGATTAGGTCAAAGTTAGAGGTCTTTTATTCTGCACCAATGTAAACCTGAAGGAAATCATTTAAAACACTGGCGGTAGTGCGTTGAGCATGAATGACCCGATGGTGTGACCCAGCGTCTCTCTCATTCCTCGCAGCTCTTCCGGGAGGTGAGAATCATGAAGATGCTAAATCATCCCAACATAGGTGAGTGTGAAGGAAACACGAGTCGCTCCCTGAGACTCTGGAGCCAAAACAAAAACAGAGAAGATGCTTTTATTCTGGTTTCTCTTTCGCTCTCTCTGTCCTGTATCCAATGCTGTTTTTCATTTTCCACCCCCACGCGGTTCTGTTTGGGTTCTTTCCGCCTGCAGTCAAGCTCTTTGAAGTGTTAGAGACGGAGAAGACGTTGTACCTGGTAATGGAGTACGCTAGTGGAGGTAAGTGAAATCATTGTCCCTCCAGCATGGATCTCTGGAAGTTATGTAATCATCTGAAGCTCCCACCAGCAGAAACAACCGAGTAGTCTGGGTCAGGATTGTGGTGAGAAGTCTATGAAACACACCATCAGAGGAATAATATTTATTAGAGTAAAATTAGGGTTGTCACGGTAACCGGTATAGCGGTAAACCCCGGTAAAAAAGTTGACAATAATAATAACCGCCTTGTTTTTAAAAACATATATTATCTCGGTGGGTTACCGTGGCTGCGGTGTAGGCGCGGTGACCCTTACCAGCCACCGTATCATCTGCTGAAGTTGCCGGCAGCACATGCGCACTTTGTTGTTTACAACCAAAACTTTCTTGAAGCTAAAGCTGAAATAATGGCCAAAGGAGGAGACGGCAGCGCTCAGGACATTTATTATCCCTCAAAGAAGACAAAGTGGGAAGTACGGGCATCTTTTGGATATCTGAAGAATGCCGAGGGACAGTTGATAGAAGACGACTATCCTGTTTGCAGCACGTGCAGAAAAAGTGTCTGTGAAAGGCAGCAACGCTTCAAATCTCATGACACATCTGCGTGACCATCACCCACAACTCTACAGCCAACGCAAGGCAAGCTAACGTTAGCGTTTTAGCTAAAATGCGTGATCCGAGGATTTGGGTTGAGGGAGAATGCAACGAGTCGCTATATAAAGCAGCCGCAGCGCCGCTACCTGCATATAAACCGTGTCACGGACACCCCCATGTTGAAATGACGCTATGCATTACGGGGCTCCCAGGGGCCGATAAGAGTTGGTCTCTCTCCGAGAATAATTATGAATTTAACAACGATTACTGCCTGATGACATTTTCCCACATCTGCAAAGCTCACTGGAAGGACACAAACCGAGGACGATATTTTCCTGATATAGGGTTTATTACTCAAGTAAGGGTAAAAAAGTATCTGATTAGAAGGCTACTTGAGTACTGAGTATCATCTGGTCTAATATTTTTAAATGATGACATCAAACAGACAAAAAATAAGAAGTTATGGGCAAATATTGGTATTCTAAAGACTAAAGGGGAAAAATGTAAACAAATAAACAACATAATTACAAAATAACACATTTTAGGCTAAATTTAGACACAAACTGAGGACAATATTTTCCTGACATACAGGGTTTATTTAGTTGTCTGAAAATGTAACACGTTTAAAAAAAATACCGCAATAATACCGAAAACCGTGGTAATTTTGGTCACAATAACCGTGAGGTTACATTTTCACACCATGACAACTCTAGAGGAAATAGTTGGACCTTAAATCCCCGTTGTCTTTCCAACGTCCTGTAAGCCGTGTGTTCACTTCAGCATGTCCTTCCCCCCTTTTCCTCAGGTCTAAAGAAAAAGACGCTATCTCACTGCTTTTTCCTCTTTTTTTATCAGGAGAGGTCTTTGATTATTTGGTGGCCCACGGCAGGATGAAGGAAAAAGAAGCACGTGCCAAATTCAGACAGGTGTGTGTCGGAAAACAGTCCACGGGGAATTCCTACGCTGGTTACTGTGTACATCATTTAATTAAACTGTGTACTTGTGCTGCTTGTGTTTAGTTAATTAATAACAGGTCAGGTGAGAATTGGACGACATGCTTCACACATCAAATCCTAGAGGAACATTTCAGCCATTTTCCAGTGTTTTCCGGTTCTTGGTGACAATTAATGCAACACTGGATGTAAAATAAATCTGGTAACGTTGCAGACGTTTATTGAAACAACTCCACAGCGAGTGTGTGTCGTAATGAAAGCTAAGTGATATATCAGAGTGTGACCTTGTGTGTATAAATACACACGCACTGGAGCAGTTTTAGGGTGCTCAGACCAGTCTTCAGTTTTGAAGACATTTTAATTTAGATTTAGTCACAATTTAGACATCCAATTTCTTTTAGTTTCTTGTTTTAATCGACTAAAATTGCAAATAATTTTGGTTAAAAGGAAATTTTAACTAACAATAATTAATAGAAAATACCAAATGAGCACTTACCATTTGAAGTTGTGCCTCTCAGCATTAGCTCATTCGCTGCCAGCGTTTTTCAGCGTTTTTACTGTTTTTTTTAAGAGTCACAGAACGTTGCGCGCTAGGATGATGTCAGCGCCAAAACAACCAAAACAAAGCAGAGACTCACCTCTTACATCAGGAAGAATCTGCGCGTTTCGAGCGTTATCCGTTCTTTCTTAATCCGTTGGTGAATTGCGATCGGCGGAAGCTTTTCCGATTCGCGCCTCACTTCTTTTTACAGCAGCGGCCCAAAACGATCTCCTAACACGTGGATGTTCTGCTTCCTGATCACGTGACGTGTGACGTACGCGGATGAAGATCGGCTTTAGAGCTTTGTTCTCACGGTGCGGGGGCTCGTCCGACGCCCACACAGTAAAAACATGCAAATGAGGACTTTAATCATCATTGGCAGTGAACGAGTTAATTTAGTACACAAATCTGTTTAATGTGCAGTCATATTTGTAAACAGGAAATGACATCACTATCAAAGCAATAAAACGTGTGATGAGATAAACTAAAGGTAAGACTGTTTTTAGATGTATTCATTAGTTTTTCCTGGCAGTAATGTGTCGAGGTGGGCGGCCTCAGACACACCGCTAGAACGCCAACGCTGATAGCGTCGGCCACGGCATCGCCACGAGAACATTAAGCCAACCAGAATCAGTTCGGCCCCAGATAACCCCTCCCTCCTCTCCCCCTCCTGCCGGGATACCACCGTAACGCTTTTAAAACCAGGGGAAACCCCCGATGTGTACTCACCAAGTCGATTGTTTTCAGATTGTCACATCTAAGGCGCCTCCCCCCAGCTGTGGAGACGTCCGGTTAGCGCTAGCGGCAGTCAGACCTGGACCCGGATGGGTTCTTTTCTCGTCTAGTCCCAACTGTTCCATTTGCTGATTGGTTCATTTTTCTGTTGTCCCGTCTTTTCTGCTCTCTGATTGGATTTTCGTTTCTGTCGTCTCTCATTCGTCAACGGAAATGTGGATCAATATTCGTCATCAATTAGTCTTTACTGGCGTGTATATTTTAGTTTTTGTTTCGTTTTAGTCTGGGAAAGTGTATTTATCACGAACCCCCCCCCCCAATGTTTAATCCCAGACTAGCCATTAGCTTATCAGTCACGAGGACTCCCATTTATGGGAAGCCATCACCTTCCAGCACTGAAAGAGGGCGCGTGTCTGTAACCATCATGTTTAATTTCCTGTCTGTCGGCTCAGACGGACACAGAGCCAGACTGGTCTGAAATGAAACAGCTAGATGAGGCTGAGATGTCCGACTCCTGTGATGAAAGGCTCAAAAACACGCATCAAACGGTTTTGTCTCTTTTTCCCATCTGATATTTATAGTTAAGTAATATTTTATGGAACAAAGACGTCGTCGTCTTCCTCCGCTTATCCGGGTCCGGGTCGCGGGGGCAGCATCCCAACTAGGGAGCTCCAGACCGTCCTCTCCCCGGCCACCTCCACCAGCTCCTCCGGCAGGACCCCAAGGCGTTCCCGGACCAGATTGGAGATGTAACCTCTCCAACGTGTCCTGGGTCGACCCGGGGACCTCCTGCCGGCAGGACATGCCCGAAACACCTCCCCGGGGAGGCGTCCAGGAGGCATCCTGACCAGATGCCCAAACCACCTCACCTGGCTCCTTTCGATCCGGAGGAGCAGCGGTTCTACTCCGAGTCCCTCCCGAATGTCCGAGCTTCTCACCCTATCTCTAAGGCTGAGCCCGGCCGCTTTTCGGCCGCTTGTATCCGCGATCTCGTTCTTTCGGTCATTACCCAAAGCTCATGACCATAGGTGAGGATTGGGACGTAGATGGACCGGTAAATCGAGAGCCTGGCTTTCTGGCTCAGCTCCCTCTTCACCACGACAGATCGGCTCAGCGTCCGCATCACTGCAGACGCCGAACCAATCCGCCTGTCGATCTCCCGATCCCTCCTACCCTCACTCGTGAACAAGACCCCGAGATACTTAAACTCCTCCACTTGAGGTAGGACCTCTCCCCCGACCCGGAGTTGGCAAGCCACCCTTTTCCGGTCGAGAACCATGGTCTCAGATTTGGAGGTGCTGATCCTCATCCCAGCCGCTTCACACTCGGCCTCGAATGGAACAAATTCACCTATATTTCATTAACAGTTTAACTATCGGTTAAATAATTAGAGGAATTTATTGAATCGAGCCCTTGGAGTGTTCTTTACAGCCCTAGATTAATGATGAGGTCTGTTAAAATCTGGTTCTCCGTTTATTCCTGATTAAACCCGCTGAGTTTTGTTTGTTTCTCCCCAGATTGTGTCAGCAGTCCAGTACTGCCATCAGAAGTGTATAGTGCACAGAGACCTCAAGGTGAGGACACACACACGCACGCACGCACGCACGCACGCACACACACACACACACACACACACACATTTTATTGAGTTACAGTAGATTCTGTGTGCAGGGAAGCTCCCGTTCTGCGTCTCAGCACATTAATCTTCATATGATTTAATTTTGGAGATTAAACCCCGCCCCCA